CTTTATTATTTTCACATAAAAAATTACACATATAATTATCACGAGTATATAATGGGAGTTCTCCCATATATACTCTTCATTTCTATAATGTACGTCGATGGTTGCTCAATTAAAACTGACTTCTTCTCACTCGCTCATTTGTGTTCTTTTTTGTGGTGAGCTACAGTGTCATTGACACTTTCATTAACATTCCGATAACGAGTCTTCATGAGTAATCAATTGTAAAAGGTGTTGCATGTTACTTTACATAAAAGGCATTGATAACACACACTAGACATATACTGTCGAATTTTTTTATATTGTTGTGTATATATATATATTAGTACTGTAGAAGTTACTGATTAGTAACAGACTGTAGTTCTAACTTCCCTGAACCATTTTCGAAAGGGCAGCACCTGTTTCATTAGATGTCAACTGCAATACGGCCAATTGACCGTTGCCACCGATTACTGCCATCAAGTACAAGTGCATGCGAATATTGTTGAGTTTGTATGTATCGTCGCACATCAACATCTCTGGATATCTGTTGTAGGTTTGGCGCATTTGCAGGTCTTGGAACAAAAAGTCCTGTGAGGATATTCTCGTCATCTTTCACAACTTCCACGGCAGATCCTAAAACCAACAATTGGGCCCATCAGTAGACAGCACATGTAGGAAAAATATCTTCAACTTGTTTAGATATATTTGAAACCACATGATACCAAGGACTGATATACAGTGTGTAGGAGTTGGAATCTGCTGCCTTTATTGCTTCATACATTTTAATGAAAAACATTCATCTCAGTTTGTTTTTGTAGACAATAAAGTTTGTATACTATACTTCACTATTCAGAGATGTGGAAGTACCATGAAAACCACATAGCTTTGTAACTCGTATTAAACAAAACTTACTACTGATGTTAGTTAAGTGGCAGACAACGCTAGCCAATTCGTTTCCATTTACAGCATGCTGTGATATGGCTTTGATGTTGCTCAGGTCAAACAATGTTACAACTTTCCCTGTGTTCTTTTCTAACTCAACGCGGAGCAGCTTTTTGTTAGCTTTCACACGCATCAGATCAGTTGCTATTGTAACGGCGTCGGCCTCTTCTCTGCCGCTCCCTGTGCGCAGTTCGCTCGCCGAACTTTTCGGTGTCAGATGTTTCGCGCCCAAAAGGTGCGCGCAGCTTCGCAAGTAGAATCGCCGCCTCTAAAACGATCCTCTTCGGTAGTATTCGCTGCGTTGGTAGTGTTCGCTGCGTTGGTAGTATTCGCTGCGTTGGTAGTACCCCTTCACGCAAAAGATTTTTCTCCCGCGCGTGTGTTGTGTAAGACTTATGAGATGGTGTGAGCTAGGATGCGTACGGTTACAGGCGTACCTTTCCTCGGCGGTAAGATTGACGTGTAGACGTGGGGAGAAATGAAGGCGCAGGCAAAAGTGTGCTAAGAGTGAATGATGTTTATTGCAACACAACGAAAGAATGGGGAAGATACACACTGAACGCACCGGTAGGCAAACGAGCAGCTTTCAAAGAGCTTTCTGAGTCGTACTCACTCGTTTCGGCGCTGGTGTTAATTCAAGAAATATATCTCCCGCACAATAGTTTACTCGCTCAACGATCGATATCAACCGATCGATCGCTTACTGGCCGAGCCCGATTACTCCCAGAAGTATTTCTATCCCGCTCTTCTCTAGCGGTAGCCACGGAGATAGGCTTTTCTCTTCCGACTTGTTCGGTGAGACTCTCGCTACTCCCGGAAGTATTCAGGCCTGTGAAATCTCCGCGGATCCGCGGTTTTCCTCGTTTTGTTAGTTGCATTCTCGCGTTTTATTTTCATTTCCTCGTTTAAAAAAAAAAAAAAAAAAATCGCAAAAAATAACAGTCTGTGGTGTCACACTCGTCTGGTTCGTTTTACAAGATTTCATTGACAATATCTTTAATGCAAAATTGGTATTTCCTCTCCACCCTGCCGATAAAACGTCTATATTAGAGTAAAGTTTTACAAAACATGTCGGAACGCAGCATAACCTATTTATTTCTAACGCCATCGCTAAGAAACGTCAAAGCGGGTATAGCGCCATCTACCGTCACAAATTGTGATTCATTTTGGTTTATAAATTATTATTGCGATATACAGATGGCAACCGTGTGCTACCGCCTAGAAAAACTCATACGAAGTAAACACTTCCATGCAACCAATTAACCTTTGACAAAAGTTGTGTTATGGGCAGGGAAACACCATTGTCACGTGGTATATAGCAGCTACGTGGAATAAGCGTATCCTGTCAATCTTACACGTTACACTCCGCTTTTAGGCAGTGCCTAAATCTGAATATTATAAAAACGTTAAATGGCGATCATTTAGGTGTAACGCCATCACTCGCCCACATCTCAGACTTTCACATCTCAAACATTTATTTTCACATAAAAAATTACACATACAATTATCAAGAGTATATAATGGGAGTTCGCCCATATATACTCTTCGTTTCTATAATGTACGTCGATGGTTGCCCAATTAAAACTAACTTCTTCTCACACTCATTTGTGTCCTTTTTTTGTGGTGAGCTACAGTGTCATTGACACTTTCATTGCTATTAGCGCCAAGCGAGCTACACAGCTGGCGCGAATTAATACGTGCAAAAACGTGTATCGACATCGCCCCGCGTGCACACTGCTGGTGAAATGTTGAAACGTTTGCCGACTCGCGGTCGATAATGTAAAAACTTTAAGATAATGTAAAAACATCTGATAGAAAGGTTGATGGAACGTTGAAAAGTTGATCAACTCGTCGACTTTTCGATAGTGTAAACCCAGCTTAATAAACTGTGTTGTGGTTGCATATCCCCGTCACCGCACCTCTTAAGCTAGATTTACACTTATCAACTTTCTGTTGAAAAGATGACGATCTGATCGACCGAAAGTCAGCAGTTTAAACATAGAAGTTGATCTTGTCTATCCCACGTGCGGCACTCGCACGGCGCGGCAGTGACGAGCAGGCGACACACCACACACGACCGCAGGCCCGTGGGGGCCCTACCCTGTGTAC